GGGGCACTTTGTGGGTACTTGAAAAACGGGGGGGGGGGCACTGTACCGCTAGCTAAACGTAACACAAAAACAGTTTGCCATTCATTCTATTCATTCTCAGCTTGCTACTCTTTCTCTTTTTTTTAATGGAGGTATAGTTATCAATAGAAAAAGGAGCATTTGTGAAAATACAAGGAGCGCTTATCCGAGTTAAAAAGGGGTAGTTATTAAAGGGGAAGGGGCACTTTTCTATGGAAAAGGGGGCCCTTTTGAGGTACTTGAAAATGTGGGGGGGGGGGCACTGTACCGCTATCTAAAAGCATAGACGTAATTACGTCTATGCTAAAAGTAACACAAATACAGTTGGCCTTTCACTTATTCTATTCATTCTCGGCCTGCTACTGCTCCCTATAGCCAGTGGCTTAGATCCTTACGTAATACCTATTGTTCAAGGGGGATCCCCTTGAACATAGGATCCCCCTGAACAATAGACATTAGGCCTTGTAGCTAGGACAACGCCCTTTGCCCCCGCCGAGTGTCAATAGCAGGCCACATTCAGAGTAAGCTTCTTTTGTATGTGACAGGAAGTTTGCTATTAAGCCTTGACCGTAGCTCTCCATTCAAGCATTAATAGTGTTGGAATATATTCCGACGGCTATCGATACGAATATACATACAGGAACATAATTTGAAATTGTATATGGGTCATTCCATCGGGTTGGGTCATAAATTGTGACATGAAGGTTCAAAATTCAGAGTTGTTGAATAATTTGTTTATTGTTATATCCTGTTTTTAACACCCATTCTTCAATAGATTCCACTGGAATTGTGTGTATTCCTTCTCACACTTTCATTTAAAATGAAAAAACAGACACACCAAAAAACCAACGTTACAAGGACATCTTTTTTTACTTGCTCATTTATTTTCTGATCTGAAACTTTGTCACAGTCTGTACTCCACTTTTTATGATGAACTTTTTTCCAGAAATTAGTTCATGAAAATGACATGTTTTCATGTCACAACTTTCACCCTCAAAATCGCTGAGACATCGGTAGTAAAACTCTCACAAAAAAAAAAATATGATGAAGAAGTTTCTGTTTTCATGTTTATTTATTCTGTACTACATTACTCTTCAATATAACATACTTTTATTTTTCTAAAAATACATTCAAATTTGAGTAAATAGCTTCTAAACATTCAAACACGTGAAAATGCTGAAAAGACCCAACCCGATGGAATGACCCATATGCGTACAACTGCTTGTCTTTACATTTTCATTTCATAGGGAAAATAGAGGGGACTGATGAAATGATACATTTAGATAGAAAGGGAGAGAGGATATACAGTATGAGAGATGATGAAAATAGAGGAAAGCAGTGTCGCCGGGATAGGGGGGGGGAAGCAAAAAAAGAAAATAGGCAACATTTGTGGTTACCTCCTTATTTTTGATTTTTTTTTTTTTTTTTTTTTTTTTTTTTTTTTTTTGCAGGGCTCGGGGCCAAGTAGATACATATATATATATATACATCTAGCTAGGTTTACGAAAGGTCCTTGGTTTACGGTCAGCTGGGATGACGATCGTAGTCTGTAAATTTACAGCACAAAAATCGGTGTTGTGACAAAATTAATATAGAAATTAAAATTGGAATTTACATTGCATGTACCTTAAAGTGAAGATAGGGATGTAAGTTTGCTTACCTAGTGTTTTTTTTTATTTTTACTTTTCCCTTTTGTTGATTTATTTTTATTCAATACATCATTGTAATTATTTTTTCCCATTTCCTATAAATTACCTTCCATCTTTACGTCGCCCGATTTCTTTTTTTCTTGAAATCGATTTTTTTTTTCTTCTCTCTTTTCCATCACCTACTTCATCTGCACCAACTAATTTTGTTATTGCATCTCTTATAAATGATTTTTTATTTTTTTTTATTTTTTATTTTTTATTAAAAAATTCTCAATAATTTATAAATAATAAAACCTAACTTTTATAATATCTATTTTTCGGAATTTCATTGAAATTGGGGCGAGTGTGCATCTAAAACAAAAGAGAGAAGGTCATAGATCATTAGAGAGTGGGAGAGAGGAATTGGAGAGAAAAAGGATGCAAGAGATGATGGATGTTGAAAGATGAGGTGGTGAAATTATAATGTTATCCTTTTGTAAATATATATGAGAAGTTAAAATATTTCTTAATTCCAATTTAAATGGTCCGTATGTTCCAATACACATGGCATAGCTCTTTAACAACGACATAAAATAATCACAGATTTATTATGACATTCCCCCCCCCCCCCCCACAAGTATGTCCCGAGTGGCGCTCTCAGAACAAAGGCGCGTAACAAAGTTAAATACATGAATATACGCGGTGTTTTGGAACTTTGGTGTTGATTGACATGACGCCTCATTTTAGATAGACAATCAGCCTATACAGTGCGTCCCAGAAAACACGAAACCGAGAATTGCCAATGTTTTATCATAACTTGATCACAATTAACATTTAATAAATGAAACATATTTGTAGATCAGTGTAGGTCCACGATTAGAGAGAGAGAGAGAGATAACAAAAAAAAAATGGGGGGGGGGACAAACATCCATAGAGAGAGAGAGGAAGATAAGAAAGGAGACATTGGTGATTCGAGATAGATTATCGAGAGATTAAAGGTGTAGTACCCAAATTACTGCCCACCTACCTGACCCATGCCCTGACCAGGGCAAGGAAGTGGTTGAATTGTTATGCATGTTCCTTCTAATGATGTCGCTTGAATCCACATTGTCTTTGAAGAAATGATTCACTTACCTGAATAAATGTATACTGCGTCACTTCATCATCAGCCCATCACATCATCATCTGCCATCACTTCATCATCATGTTAGTATCAACATCATCATTATTTTTAAATGCGCAAATCTGATTTGTTGAATGAAACGCTTACAAAAAAGATATTAAAATAAAGCGTCTTTACTTACAATCGATTGCAACTATTTGTGCTACTTGGCCCAGCTCTATTATCATCACCATCGCTTTTCTTTATCATCATCGCGGCCAATATGCCAACTATCACATATTCATGAGCTAGAAAAAATATTGATCTCCGTAACATACAACTGCTTTTCAGGACTAATAGTTTGTATTGGATATTGCTACATTGATAGCAAAGTATTCATAATTGCATGCATATCATTATATTGGTATTGTATATGGGATATAATGTACAAACTGTACATCCAAATGAAGACTAAAGGATGACGAGGATGGTGTGCGATTCTGGTGAGGAACCAAAGGTGAAGAGGGCATAGACTGTAAAATTAATACAGAACTTGGTGGAAACAGGTAGGTAATTGATATTGTTCTCGAAGTATTTGTCATAAAAATACATTCACTACTAATCGTAGTCGTAAATATTGGCTTGATTGAGTCAGTGAGGGGTCTTAGCCTTGGTTATCACACCCCTAGGAATCGTGGCTTGACGTTTCTTGGTTGGAGTGGCAGGTAGTGTCTTGGTGCAGGGGGAGGATAATGATTAATTGTCTGCAAGAGGTAACTTGTGGAAAAACTTACGTATGATTGGACGGGCGGGGGGATTGGGGTAGCAGTAGTGTCTCAGGATAATGATTAATTATATGCTACCGGTAGCTTGTGAAAAAAACTTACGTATTGATTGCAAGACAATAAAGCCATAAACACCCTCGTATATATATATATATATATATACATATTTTACAGATAAGAGAAATTAAAAACGAAACACAAACATGTGGCTTATAAAGGGCCATAGATCATTGTGGAAGTAGACTACCGGTACTAGTATCAATTCATACCTCATGTATGCATAGTTTTATTAGTTAAAAACAAAACGGGATTTTAAATCAGAACAAAGCATGCTTAAAAAAGTAGTAGAGCCTACAAACACCAGTCATTTTTCAGAAAATCCGTTGTGAAAAACAAGGAAAGAACTCGAAATAGCATTAATTATTTTTGAGACTGAATATCATCATAATAATCGAGTGTCAAAGAAACAAGATAAAATGAACACCAGCAAGCTAAATTGAAAACACGAGCGATGCTCGAAATGCGACTGAAAAGCATGCAGGGCAACAAAAAAAAAAACATGTCAAACTATAACTGCAAAATGCAACAACAACAATTATAACAACACCAACAACAGCGAGGCCCTAGCGCTGACGGTCTACACCGCCCACGTCAATTTGCCTATTACGCTCGGCTAGCTCCTCCCCTTCTCTAAAGCAGTCGCTATGCGGAAATAGCGTCCCACTAGCTACTGTATACTGTGCGGGTAAAAAAGTGTGACGTAAAAAGACAGATATTGGAGGCATTTCCGCTGAAAAATTAACCAGGTTTTGAGGGATATATCTCGGGAATGAAGCAATTGTAAGTCATTAAAATTGACATATATCATTTGGATGGACATTTCTGAATTTTTGTGTTTAAAAATAGTGAATTCACAGGAAAATCGCTGAGTTAAAAAGATCGTTCTTCGTGATTGTATTCGACCACGTTGTGAGCAAGTTTCCCACGCTGCTATACACTGCTCTCTAAATATTCTTTGATATTGCCGACTTGTTGTAGCTTCTTGTAAAGAGACGTACGTCTCTGCGAAATTTACCAGACCCTGTTTGCTTTCAACTGTAATGTTTGGGACATTCCTGGCGCACTCGAAAAATTCCATACCCGTTAATGAACTTCCTAACGGGTATGGGACATTTAACGGCAAGGGGACATTTAACGGCAAGGGGACATTTAACGGCAAGGAGACATTTAACGGCAAGGGGACATTTAACGGCAACTACAGAACCGACCCGTTAGTAACGCGTTATTTATACCGTTAACGTTAAACGCGTTAAATCGTATAGTTTATTTTGACTCATACTGTACATTGTGTTTCATATTGTACTGTTGAGAAGGAAATAAATGTTAATAAATACAAATACAATACTTATTCTTTTCATACTGCTTTTTAAAAAATTATGAAAAAACATTTGAAGAGAGCAAACTTACAAGCAACATGAATCTCTGCCCCTCTACTGATAACAGTACCCACAACATTGCTTGCCACACATCTGTACACCCCGATGTTGCTCTTCCCAATCGTTGTGAAGGTGTAGGAGTTCGACGACCACTCCGGTGCGTAGATCGCGGTGTCGTTGATCTCCCAGCCGTAGTCGATGGGCATGGTCCCCGTGGCCCGGCATGAGATGGTGTGCCGGTTGGAGTTGATGACTGTGGTGCCGATTGGATTGGTGGTGAAGAATGGCTGCTCTAAGGCATCTGAAGATGAAGAGAGGATAAGAGGGGTATGGTTAAATTTCAAACCAAACTTCACGGATATACATATCACTTCATAAAGTATTGGTACTTCATAGAAAAAAATTATGAACAAAAATACACACATGTTCATATATTCACTAGAGATTATTTCTACAGTTCTACCAGTCTAGAGTAAAATAAAGCAGACAGGCAACAAAGACATGAGCTGTTGAACTAACAACAATATTCAGCATTTCAAACATATTGAGTCTCTGGAGGTACAAGGCCGTTAATTCTGTGTTAAAGTATTTATGGATCACAAACACCCTTGTTGTTCCAAACTGACAATGTATCAACATGACTCGTATTAGCTCATTTTCAGAATTTGGAATATGAACCTGAACTTCAAGAGCATTAATTCACCAAATGACAATGTGAATAATCCTATTCTAATTAATGATTATCCAAAATCCTACCGTGCCTTTAACTCTCGCTTCGCATCAAATTGAGTGTTTTGGCATTTAAACTGAAACCACACAAAAATCATCGACCCACATATGCAGATAACATGGGAACATCTGGCGGAAAACAGTGAATCCATTCATTCCGAGCATGGATGAACTAAACGTGTCCATGAATTGTGTAAAAAACATGTCACTATCATATGTCTGGAGCCAGAATGGTGTTAAGTGTGTGTAATATGATAAGGTTAACACTCTCCTACATGAACATGTACAGCTCCAAACAGATGAGATGATATGATTGATTTCTTTATTGTATAATAGAAGAGAGATTATTCATCTAGAGCCACTTTACAGTTGCACATAACAATGTTTATTCAGAGACAGAAGTAGAATGGTATCAACAGATTTTTTTTCTTCTTCACACTGATAATGCCCTTAAGGCTCTAAACAGATATCATTCATTTTTTATTTTTGTTTCCAAATGCACATGTGTGAGGAATTGATTCTGCACACACGTATCAACTGCATTATCACATGTACATGTACATGTACAATTAGGCATGATGATTAATTATGACTGATTAATTGATTGATGAGTATATCATATTTCACAAGTTCAGGTACTGCCCTTTCGTGACCAATATTATATAAGTCACCAATGGGTAATAATAATAAAAGCAATAATAAAACAGTGTTTATACATGTAAAGTGCTTTCAACCGAAGTCTCTAAGTGTATCACTTAAAGAAGCTGGTACTTCATGATACTAGCTATACATTGTACTTATGTCAATTAAACCAAACAAAGTTTAAAACTGTTAATTGTCATCATCTAAAAGAATCAATTGTTTTTGTTTGTTTATTCTAGGGGAGTAAATAACTTAAATCAATTAATTTTGCAGGTAAAAAATACTGAAGATGTCACTATAACGTATACGGTAAACACCTTTTTGTCTTCAGCTTTAATAACAGCCTCCGAAGAGCGGCATAAATAATCTTTGAACCAAACAAATTTTTAGACTGTGCATTTTCATCATCTACAAGAATCAATTGGTTTATTTTGTTTGTTTTGTTTGTTTATTTCAGGGGAGTAAATATTGGTAAATAATTTAAATTAGTTAAGTTTGCAGGTGAAAAACACCAAAGAGGCCACTTGAAGCACAACCTCGTGTCTTCAGCTTAACAGCCTCCGAAGAGTGGCTTAAATAATCTACAATGTGAATGTAGGAGAGATGGAAAGATTCTCAAACCAAATGACAACAACAACAACAATTGTGATAAATCAAGATTGTTAGCTCTCTGCCCCTCCCCTCCCACTCCCCTCCCCCCTCCCATCTTGTACTTGCATCCCCTTGCTAGTTACTGTATTTCATATACAGTACATTCCATCTAACCGATGTTCAACTGTTCACCGCATGCATGCATCTCCCGATGGGCAAGCAATAAGCCTTCACTTATCAAACTCAACCAGAGTCAATTTGTGCACCATTTTATCTCCTGTGTAATTGCTTTACACAGCTAGAAATCTGACCGTGGCGCTTCAAATAAAATTCAATCTTCACTCATTACAGCATGCGGTACAGGCTACTTAGTACGTGTGTGAAGGGAACACTTCGGGGGATATCTTCTGTTTTTTAACAAACCGTGACGCTCTGCTCCCCTCGACAACCTCCAGCTAATTGGAGTGAAGCCGCCGTGACACGTGCTTACGACGCTTCCCTGTAGTGGCCAATAAACTAAGATGCGTAATTAAACGCACCTCGCGTCCTTTCACAGACAATTTGATCCATCACAATGATTTCGAAACGGTTAGCAATAGCATTAACTGGCCATTGGTTAATCAACTGAAACAATAAGACCGTCGGCAACCTGGGATCAAATTACTTTGGGTTTTCTTTCTTTTATTTGGTTGTCTTTGGGCTAGGGTACTAATAGCCAAATAGGCGTACTTAATTCGTTTTCCCCTATTGATCATTGTCTCAGCAGAATCAATAACCTCTCGTGCGATGGGAAGACCTGGGAAGTGTTACACATTTCACCTGCTGATCGAGTGCTGACACTTCTGATTATCATCCTCACAGAGTATTCCTCATTCTGATCAATGTTAGTTCATTTTCGATACAAATATTGGACTGAATAATACATTCTGCAATACTTATCGAGATGGAAACGGCTAAGAAAGATTTGTTTGAGGAAGACCAGCTTCACCCCAAAATGACTTAAACAAAGCTCTCCTTAAAAGTCTTTCTTTCATCACTCACCTTGCTTATTATAGTTGTGAATTGAAAATTAAGGGGAGGGGGAGGGTCCCTTATAAAGACTTTTTTCCTACTGTTATCTATTAATTTATTTATTTATTCATTTAATTTTGTATTCTTATTTTGATTTCAGGTAATTGATTGGTTGTTTTTTTTTGTGTTTTTTTTTGGGGGGGGGAAGGGGCTTTGACCTACTTTCCCCCTTTTCCCTTTAATCCTATTTTGAGGGCATGGTGCAAAGTATTGCCCCTATCATCTCCCCTGTCACACAGATGCTGGTATACATCAATCCACCAAGCCTTGCACATATATGCATATACATGCTCCTCTGTACAATTTTGTACCAGCTGAATTAAAGCTGCCGTGAACTTGCATCACACAAATCCAGACCTCTCACATCCACGGTCAAGTCATCAATCATATTTCCACATATCAAAACAAGCTCCTCTGCACTGCCATCTTTCAACATCATTGGACCAGAGATATCACATCTTGCATTCCCTTTCTCGCCCCCTGCCTCCCCCTTTCTCGCCCCCCTTCCCCTCCCCCCCCCCCTCTCTCTCTCTCTCTCTCTCTCTCTCTTTCTCTTTATTTTTCTCTTTCTTTTTCTCTTTCTCTTTCTCTTTCTCTCTCTCTCTCTTTCTCTTTCTCTTTCTCTTTCTCTTTCTCTTTCTCTTTCTCTCTGTCTCTCTCTCTTCCTTCTCGTTCATCCTATCCCTAAGCTGGCAAGCCACTCCGTCATCGTACTGATGCGTCGTTTAAAAATATCCACTTATTGCTTTCAATTTCATAGAATTTATATAACATGGAAAGGCTGTAATATAGGCCTACATGTAGGTCACTGATTTGAAATGAATCGAAATGTCAGCCGATGTGATGCAAAATTTGTCAATTATCTTCACTTCAACGTTTCAGGAAGTGGACATGTAAGGAAATCAAATTTGGAGTACATTGTACTTTTGGTGATGGAAGTCAATCACATCATACTATCTATTTTGAACCAAAAGGGGGTGTTAATTATGTGTAAAATGGTATGAGTTGATGCTCTTCTGGCTCCAAACAGACTACAAGGAAAGCATTAATTGATCAAAACCAAAGATTGCCGTTCCGGTGCCAGGGTTTTAGTCTAAATGATGGATCAAGTTAAAATTTTCACTGAACATGTTTACCAATTATTTGACCCATTTCATCAGTCAAATTGACAGATATCCTGGATGCAATCGAGATTGGTTAGGATCTACCATTCATTTTTAACCCATAAAGTCCTACTGTAGTTGGACTAAATGTACATATGAGATTAGCTAAAATTTACTAAATTTTGTTTTGATGATTAGAATTTAGAAAGTATTAAAATGTACTTTGGGCTCCACTTTAACCCATAAAGTCCTAGTTGGACCAAATGGACATTATGAGATTTGCTAGAATTTACTAGATTTTATTTTCATGATTAGAAAGTATTCAAATGTACTTTGGGGCGCCACTGGATGCAAAAATAAAAATAAATTCTGCATTTGTAGTTGTGTTGTATCGAGTTGTCCGACTGACTGTGGCATGAATCAGATTTCTTTTTCTCGCACGCCAGATCTGTTCAAGCCATCGATCCCACATCAGTCTTAATAATGAGCCATCATGCCTCGCTCAATCACCATCACCGTAGCGGCTTTAAGAGGTCCGCCAGGCCAGAGATCAGACCACGTCTCTCTTTCCCAGCTCGTTTGATCTGATCGTCAATTAAACCAGCACGGCACTAGCTGCATGGCTGTATAATCCCAGATACTTTTGATATATCATTGTGGGGGATGTAATGATGTTTCCAAAGTTATGTACCTACGTACAAATGTAGTCAGTGCACTTTTGATTAATTAATTGGAATGTCGATTACATGTAACTTGGCTAATTGGCTGATGTACTGGGACCTTATATGATATGCTTTGGTACAAATGTACATTTATGTAATTCACAAGAAGGCATTAATTAGTTACCCATTCATTTCATGACCAATCAGGTTTGTTTAAAAAAAAAAGAATTTGCTATCAACTAAAATATGTAGAAATATTACATGATACAACATGAGGATTGCATACATGTATACAAAATCACATGTGTTTCACACATTGATTCAACAAACTTTTGTTCATAAAGACTAAAAGAGTTAGCGGGTCTTTTTTACCGGAGAAAGCTTTTTATTTAGTTTCCTTTGTGATTCACTTCGTCATAATGTATTAGTTTGAATAAAAGTTTTTTCAATTTTAATTAGAAATCTTTCTTGATATAATGACAACGGAATCTTCATAAAAAAACAAAACAAAAATCTCTTCCT